CCCCACGAACCACTGTACGTCCCGCAACAACGACCTCGTCGTTATCATCATCGTCACCATTATCGTCATTATCGTTATCATTGTCTTGTTCTCCAAGGCCGCGCAGAGCTTTTTATCACATCCATTTGTGATTTCATTAGTACAATCAAAGAACTAAGCTTAATGTGAACACACACTTACCACGATAGCCACCCATCTCACCAAAGTTATCATCATCAAAGTCGTCACCCAGATCGTCCTCAACTAAAACACGACTATCACCACCGACATGGGTCTCATCGTGCGATGGCGAAATTGCTTGGCCAAGCGCGTATGTCGAAGTCATTGATTCGAATAAAATGGTCCCCAAAATCAAGAAAATGGCCTTCATGTTTGTTTGGCTGGTAAAAGTGAGAGCAAATTCCGAAGTGAGCAATCTGAGCGTAGGCAGTTAGACCAGTAAGAAAATTGAGTTTCCAAGAAATACGAGGTGGAAAAAGAGCCTAAAATTCTTTGCGATGATGTGATTAAGCTAAAATTTTCTATCATGTTGCTACAGTTTTGTTTGTATCTGCTCACTAACGTATCAGTATAACGTTGAGGACATACGAAATGTTTTCTAAACATTTCGAGAAAAATTCTGCGACTGACATAGCATTGTAATTAGATTAGCCTGCATCTTACATTAGAAAAACTCGAGTCGTTTAGCATATTTCATACTTCATAGAAGTCCGAAGCTATCAAGTAGTTAAGTTGATTTTATTACCGTCTGCGAAAGGCTTTGATATGTCAGCTATTATCATATTTCTATGTTTTATCGTTTTTCTATTATCATAGCTGATGATAGGCAAAACTATATATTTCTACACTCAACTTGAGTGGCGCAATTTGAATTGGGGGCTACTTCCTCGATGAGATGAATTCAATGTGCTTAATTACATCCAGCATGGACAGACACCCCGTCTTTTGCTCTTAAGGTGCTCACAGACATGAGCATGCGAGAGCGATAGTCAAAATAAAGAAAGTTGCAGCCATAAACTGTGGAAGCACACCTGCCTAAACCATGATGTCAAAGAAAGCGGGTATGTACATTGTTGCGGAGTATACGATTCTTATCGAAATCTCTATATGCATTATAAGGATGCATTGCATAAAACTATTCCCTGCTAAGAAACCAAAGTTGCTGCTTAATGCCTATATGAATCATAGCGTGACCGTATTCAACATTGCTGTTGCTATTGTATCGCACTTGTATCAAACAATGATAATATGATTTTAAACGAATTCACGATATCCGATGTGAGAAGTAAGCATGTTGGATTTTATCTTTGTGCCAAAATGATTATTTTCGCTTATACGCGTTCACATTGATCAAGTCACTACCCCTCCACCATTTTTTAGAGCATTTTTTTAAGCCACCGATCTCGTATTGTACGATTTTATTAGTAAAAATAAGCTCGTTTTTCAGTTCAGATTCACGTTAAGAAATGCTAAGCAATGGCCATGCTTCTGATGTAGAAATTGTCTTACATTTCACATGCCGCTGCCGATTATCCTCAGTCGTTCTGAAATCTCGTCCACGTGAAGCCAGCCAATATGTTCTTTGCAGCATTGATGCCAATACTTTCGCGCTTTGTCGTGTCGCTGCAATGAGCTCGCATTCCGGTCAGCAGGCTCAAGTGGATATATCCGTAACGTTACAACGCGACTCACAGACGTTTCACGAGCTACAATCATCACTATTAGCTCACAATTGCAATACAAACAATAGCGTTACATTTATTTGCGAGCTGCAATGGGTCCCGCGTGTTGCTGTACGTGCTGCTGTTGCTGTGACACTGGAACTGCTTCCGTCGTCAAAGTCCGAATTATTACATGATGCAGAAATTCGCTCTCTACTTCAGCAAACGATACAGCGTCACTTTATTCTATGTGCAGACGCGATAGTTAAACTTCCGACATTTATAGGCCTTAAAGCGAAGAGCAGAGGTGAACTGAGTGACGAGCAGGAACAAGTGATGACTTTCAGGGTTGTGTCGACGTATCCTACTGCACCTTTTGTAAGTATTACACCCAGTACTCGTGTAACATTGACCGAGTCAATTAATACTCGAGAAGTAGACAGTATTGATATAGACGTTAGCAAGAAAACAATTTCCAATTCATACGAGAATACGGAAGTGAAGATAGGAGGGATGGAAAACGAACGAACAGCTTTGCGTGAATTGATTCTTTTACCTGTCATGTACCCGCGTCTTCGCTCGGATTTTGGTGTAGAGTTTCCAAAAGGGGTGTTATTATGTGGCCCTCCTGGTGTGGGAAAGACTTTGTTAGTGCGTTCGGTTGTTCACGAATGCCGTCAGATAAAGGACGCATCCGGCGCAACGCTGGATTTAAACTTGCAAGTGATTAATGGATCTGAAATAATGACTAGTGGTCGTGGCGATGCTGAACACGCTTTGCGTGCTACATTTGAGACGGCTTTAATTCATGCTTCCAGTGCTCAGCATGCTGCGAGTGTCATATTTATCGATGAGTTGGATGCTCTCTGTCCAAAACGAGAAGGTGCCGGCGGTGCCTCAGCTTCTCACAGTCGTATTGTGGCTCAATTACTGACGCTTCTAGACGGTGTAGAGAGCGGTCTTTCGCGTGAAAATGTGGTTATTGCTGCTGCAACAAACCTTCCGAACTCGATCGATACAGCCTTACGTCGTCCTGGACGATTTGATCGAGAAATATTTGTTGGACCGCCGAATACAGCTTTACGCAGGAAAATCTTTCAAACGCATTTGTACCAAACACCTATCGCTTTAAACAATAGCACCAACGAAGAACAGGAAAAACATCGAGATGAATTTCTAGATATATTAGCTGCCAAAGCCCTCGGGTACGTGGGTGCTGATATCGCAGCTTTGTGTCGTGAGGCTACAATGGTCGCTTCTACTCTACAACTTGTGGCTCTTTCTCGAGATCGTGATTTGGAGGAATGGTGGATGGATTGGAAGTCTCGAGTTGAGCCTCTTCGTGATTTACGATCAACACCGGCAAAACTTGGCCCTGTTGTCGCAGGTCGAGCTTGGCATAATAATCCAATGGCTATCATTCCGCTTTGGTTTCTCATTAAGAAAAGTAGTCAACAAAGCTCGGATGAGGGAATTGAAAAGTACAAACAACAGTCCCATTCAGACTTTTTTAGCTTTTTATTAGGGCGCACTGAAAAATATGGGCCTTGCAATGAGAAAGAACCATCAAAAACTTTTCAAGTGACCATGGCCGACTTTGATCAAGCTATGCAAACCATCGTACCATCGGCTCTTCGAAGTGCCAGCGGCTATACGTACGTGATAACTACTTTTTTGATTGTCTTGTCTTGCATTCACTCGTAATCATTTTTGCCGATTTCAGCAAAGACTTTGAACGCCAAGGCTGGGATAGTATAGGCGGTCAGGCCGAAACAAAGCTTGCTCTGCAGCAGGCTCTTGAGTGGCCCGTAAAGTATCCACAGACATTTTCTCGGCTTGGTGTCAAGGCTCCCCGTGGTGTGTTACTTTATGGTCCACCTGGATGCAGTAAAAGTTCGATTGTTCGAGCAGCAGCTCATTCAAGTGGAGTCACATTTTTGTCGCTTTCAGCAGCTCAAGTATTTTCACCATATTTTGGTGATGCAGAAGCTGCTGTACGTCAGGTTTTTCGAGATGCACGAGCTGCTCTTCCTGCCATTGTCTTTTTTGACGAAATCGACGTCATAGTTTCTAAGCGAGAATTTGATGGATCTGGAGAGGGTGGAACTTCAACTGCAATACGCGTGCTATCTACAATGCTAAATGAAATGGATGGTGTCGAGTCTGCTGATGGACTTTTGGTTATTGGTGCAACAAATCGTCCAGACTGCATCGATGCAGCACTCTTGCGACCAGGACGATTCGACCGTATTTTATTTGTAGACCTTCCAAGTGAAATTGATCGTGCAGAGATTCTCCGAATTCACTCGCGTCCAATGCCATTGAGCACTGATATTGATTTTAGTGATCTAGCCCGTCGTACGCCATATTTTAGCGGCGCTGAACTCGAGGTTGGTTGGTCATTGACATTACGACTTTAAATTCACAGACATAGACGCTGACATTATTGTTGTAGAACCTATGCCGTGAAGCTGCTTTACTCGCTCTTCGCGAGTCTCTAGAAGCTGAGAGAGTGACATCGCGCCATTTTGAAGAAGCTCTCGCAGGTATCACACCTATATCATCCAAAGAGTCGATGACCGACTACTTTACGTTTGCAGAAAGGTTAGGCCAACTGTCGTAATATTTAAATTATTGTGATAACGCACACTTTTAATGTTTGCTACGATCATAACCGAAAGTGTGGAATTCCTCTTGTCACAGCTAAAAAAGGATCTCACCCCCATCTACAAAGCTGACTTTATGCTGCAATGGCATACCATCTTTCTCCACACCGGCTTGCTCCATTTTGTCCACGACCTCAAACCCCTCAACGACTTCTCCAAAAACAACGTGCTTGCCATTTAAATGTGGTGCAGCAGTCAGCATGAAGCAAAATTGACTGCCATTGGTATTTGGACCAGCATTGGCCATCTGTAAAATGTATCTCTTCGAGTGCTTAAGTCTCAACCCATTGGGCTCATCGTCAAACTTGCCACCATAAATACTGCGACCTCCTGTTCCAGTGCCCGTTGTAAAATCCCCACATTGCACAATAAAACCCTTGATAATGCGATGACATGAACTGCCTTTAAATGCATAATCCGTTCCTTTTTCGCCTGTGGTTAGCACTCGAAAGTTTTCCACAGTTTTCGGCACAATATCAGCGTATAATTCAGCTGTGACTCGACCCACATACACGTCATCAATAGCTACATCAAGCCACACATACTTTCGATACAGATTAGGATTCCAGAGCCTTATGGGGGCAGGAATTTCAGTTTCCTTCTCCGTGTTCGACTCATTCTGTGCCACGTTAAGTGTGGGCTCGGGTGGCTCTTTTTGAGCCTCGCGCATACTTTTTAACGGCATTAAACGTGATTCATCCAGTGGTGAGTCAAAGAAAACATTCAGTACCACAAAGTAAATTACAAAGAGCAGCCCAAGTCCCAGGAAAATGACTTTGCGCGCATTTAGAGCGTGGCGAGCCATGAGTGCAGATTTGGCTATCACAATTTTGGGTTTAGACAATATTGAACCCCTCATTTTTATTGTATTATTCCACTTAACAAACCCTCTCATTGTTTTATAATCACCTATTCGATTGGACAGGGTTTACCGAATGGCTAAATTCCATCAATTCCGCGTGGGTAAAGGTTGACTAGACTTTACTTCTTTCTCGCAAGCCCAGAGTCATTTTTAATCCTACGCACTGTGTAGGATACAATATTACCATCTCCCAGGTTTCTTGTTGACGTGTAAGATATTGGTTGAAACGATGGGGTTCAGCATTCCGAACTCACCGCGTAGGATGATCAACACTGGGACACAGTGGACAGATTCGACCATAGCACCGTCAACTTCAGGCCTTCGTCGAGGCTTTCAACAATTGATTGCTGCCCGCCGTCGAAATGCCATTGTGCCAGGTTCACTGACATTTGACACGTTAGAGTCTCCGCGGTCACCACTTGTGTTTCTTAGTCTCGAGAATCGTCGGGCTCTTATTGAACGTCAAAACCAAGAACAACAATACCAATCAAATGGAAAACCAGTCTCAAGCATAGCAACCGAGGTACAACGTTATAACGGAGATCAAGCAACTATCCAAAAAACCCTTGCTCACATTTTTTGCTTGTTTACACAGCCTTAGACATCTATTGCGCAACATCTCGTACGACACGCTTATAGTAGCTTTGTTGAATATATGTATAAACATCAAATAGAGCAATTTAGCTTTTCACGTGTAGTATACACAAAAATGGTGTTTGCTACATATCCGCCAATTTGATCACGATTAAGGCTCCCCCATGAGTGAGGGATCAGGTGATACGTGCTCGGCAGCCGACCGTTTAGTGCGCTTTATACGGCGATATGATGTGGCTAATGATAAAGTAGCGAAGCAGCTAGGATGGTCTGAAGAGCAGTTACGAGCTTATTTATTACCTGAGACCCGTCGTATTAAAGCAATATCCGACGTACGTCCGACTACGAATTAATCATTGCGCCGAATGACTATTTTGAGCTTTGCCATGGCTGTGCAATGAGTTTTAGATTGCAGATGCAGCGGTAGATAAGTTTTTGATGAGGTATCGCGTGGCTTTAGCACATCAGACGCTAAAAAGAGCTACCACTAGACCTCTCAAGCCGCTCGATATGAGTTGTAGAAGATCTATGAATCCTATACAGGTTAGAGAATGCAAACAATGTGATGAAAGGCTATATAATCGACGTGAATGTGCTCTGAGCAGTATGGACGTAGTATGACAGACAAGAGGAGTATTATACACGCAGATGTCACGCCTGCACAGTTGGTTCGTCTCGTTCTTTCATGTTTATTGACTGTAAGATTGCCACTTGCTTATGCTGTTGTTTTCTTTAATTTATTCTTTGAAGATGGAAGCCAAAGGGATGAATGAGCCAGTAACGGGGAATCGGAAGCGAAAGCGGCGGTGCATTGTACAACCTTTGCTTGCTAAGATGGAGACACGACAAGTATATCTAAAAAATTACGCAGATAGAAGAATGTCGATCAATTCGATTTTTAAAGTCAACAATGGTCAACAAGCGGCTAGTCAAGACCCCATTTGCCCCATACGCCTTGATGTCGACGAGGATGGAATTCGATATCAGGATACATTTCTTGTTGACGCGTACGTTTATAAACGACTTGATGTTGCTAAATATGTAGCAGATGGTCATTTGGTCGATCTGTTATAGTGCAATAGCTTCGTGTTCACCGGAACTTCTTGCCATGCAAATCTTTCACGACGAAAAGATGACTGATAGACTTAGAGTGCGTCGTGCCTTGAATTTTTACACTTTGCATCGTGCTCAAGTGGTTTGTGCATTTATTTGTATGCAGGATGCAATTGCTGAGTCTATTCGACGACAAATCTTGTTGTTTACCTCGTCGTCCGTGATCAATTTACACAAGAACACACTGCTTTATCCTATCTATCTAGACCTCATTGTAGATGGATACTCCGTACGCAATTGCTTATATTATTCATGATGATGATGATTTTGCAACTGATGCATATGTCGTACTTGCAGCTACGCGATCAATTTGAATGGGATGTGTCAAATGACTACCGTGCAACGCAGATTTTCGCTGCAACACTTTGTGCAGACCTAAAATTACCACAAACGTTTGAGCCTGCCATCGTCTTTTCAATTTATGAGCAAGTTGTTGCGTATCGTATTGTACTCAGCGGGCAAGATTGGGTTGGAACAAATCCGTTGTCCGATAAAGAAACCAGCTCGTCGCAGTCATTTTCTAGAGCGGGATACATTGAGGTAATGCCGCCTCTTGACGACATTATTCGTAGCACGGAAGACACAAGTAAGTAAACTTTTGATCTTCATTTCGAAGTATCGCCATCGTCTTAAAAAATCGTTCTTTTGTTATTCAACAGAGTTATGGCAACCTGTATTAAGTGAGCTATCACAAGAAGAAAAAACTTATTTATCTGCTAGATTCAAGACTGTTCGTGCGTATGTTAAAAAACCTTGCGACATATTAAGCTGCATGGAATCACGTGACAATTTAATTGTGTCATGCCTAGACCTACGACTTGGAGAAGCACAGTGAAAGTCTCAGATAGTGCTGACAGATCAAAGAGATTTATGCGACGAGATTCTAAGGTAACTCTTTTGATCATTATTCTCACTGATTGTTAGATTTCGTTAGTAATTGATTTTCTGTTCATTGGATCTTCAGGATAGTCGCCTTCCACGACCAATTAATCCTTTTATCGTGTTCTGTCAAATGCAAAAGGATGCTATTGGCAAGACTCGCCGCTCAGCGTCAGAGACAAGAAAAATCATGGGCGACATGTGGCGCAAATGCACTGATGAGGTATCATTTGATGACTTTATTTTGGTTTGCATGATTAGATCGGCAATAACAAGCAGATCTTTTGTTTCGGTTAGGAAAAAGAACGTTATTCTCAATTAACTGAAGTAGAAAATGAAAAAAGACGTCGTGATCATCTATTAGATATAAGAGATCGCGCTATTGCCGAATGGGAAGAAGACGAGGCTCGTCGAAAAGGACTTTTGGCTTCTGGAACGTTAGAGGCGTCCGCTGAGCACTTTCGTGGCCTTTTGCTTGAAGTATGCGTTTGCCTTACTTTGTGTGAATCATGTCAATGTTACAAGACTGATGATTCTGTGTATTGATACAACCAGAATTACATGAGCGAACGACACGAAGTAGATATGAACAGACCAGAGTCAGTAGTTGAAATGGCTGAGGAGGGTGAGAACGACGAAATCAATGAGTACGACGAGCGTTAAAACCTAGCAAGTCGTAAGCGGATTGAAACGGAATCATTGTGAGATAACCTACTCGCTTTGATTTAGAGGCAAAAGCTACACAGCCGTGTTGCAACTCCATGCTAACGTTTAAGTGTAGATTTCAATGCCCGTTGCTTCCAAAATCTCAGTGTGCAATAACTCTTTTAACTCTCCCTTATCTCGAGTATTGACCCAAGCTCTTCTTTCAGCATCATATTCGTAACGACGCGGACCACTATAGCATCAAAGCGCCATCAGACTTGACATACATAAGATCGTTTTGATCATGCCGTACCTTATAGGAGAAGACCACCAAATCTGTCGATTTGGTACCTGACGATTGATTACCCACGTACCATACTCACCCAAATCGATTTTCAAAACTCCTACCTGTACAGCGAACATTAAACCACGCTTTATAGTTGTTCCAAGAGACTTAACATACCGAAAACATGACGTCGCACTCTTCTAACATTTCCTCAATACCGTCTAACCAGCTCTGAATGTCGAACAAAGTCTTGTCAGCCAGCTCCATGAATTCATGCTCCGTCATTTGAGGAGGGGCCAAAGCGTCAGCTGAAAAGGGCTGAGATCGCAGAGTAACACGATTTGGGACTATCGATTTTCTTTGAGATGAAGACAAGTTGAACAGACTTGGTGCAGCCTTGAAGCTTATCGTAGAAGCGCGGCGGAATGCGCAGCGAACTGAAGAAACAGTAGTTCGGCACAGCATTTTGACACTTTACTTTTATTTCCAGAATGTGATTTAAATGATTGATGAGACAAAGAGCTCCAAATTTGATGATTGGTCTTTAATCATGTAAGGTAAGAGGACACCAAGTGGTACAGGACAACTCGGGGGAGTGCTCGATATAACAATCAAGGTTTGCGTTGAATCTTGTGGCGCTGTAAAGCATTCCACTATCGACACTTGCGGAGGTGGTGATAAATCAGTCACCTTGATGTAAATTTTCTAGGTGATACTACCACTAACCGCAGGAGAATCAACTTCCGTCAGCACTACATAATGAGCAGGGAGAGGCCTGGCGGGCTGGCGCGAACACTAGGGTTGTGAGCAATATACGGCCTCAATAAGAAAGGTCATAGAAGTTTGAGATGCTACTTCGGCAAAATAGCCCAGGCACCGTGACCGTTTATGACCACGGCCTTCATATCCTATGGAGGAGGTTAATTGCAGTGTGCCTCCCTCTATTTTATGGGGACAAATCTTGTGGTTAGCATGACCCATGGTTGATAGCTGTTACAGTTGTCTCATGGCGATCAGCGGAGCTGTTAGTAGCGAAGAGCTTGAGGTGATAAGTTTAGATCTGGCCGTTCACGTCGTGCGATGAATTATTCCATCGGTGTCGGACATCCGCTTCACTGAAGCTGGCATGTGCAACCTACAGATAAATGAGAGGCGCGATCTCCTTACCTACGCGAACAGAATACAGAACTCAACGGGACCTCGCCAACACCCAAAATGAAATACATCCAAAGTGCACATTTTACCGACCTTGCTACTCTGAGCAAAGGTTGTACTTCTGATGAGTGGTGACGTGTATAGAATCGCTCGCGAAGCGAATTTTGTCCCCCGAGTGAAATGTCCATACGCGTAGGTGTAAAAATGATTTTTCTCAACGCAACGAGCAACTTCAGGTGGTTCAAACTGTAATGACGACGTGATCATGACATGACTATTTCATTTGAAGTTGAGTAGGCTCCGCTTCCCCCGCCAGGCCCGGCGTGTTGGTGAAAAGTCGTCAGCTCCGCGGTGGGGTGTCGCAGCACTTCTTGCCATTGAAAAAAGGCACGGAGCTTGTATATTGTGCATAGTGAGATAGAGTGAAATAAGTGTCTTTTTTAGTGAGCGGTAAGGGCGTATGTTTGGAGTGTGGATGGGCAGGATTTGGAGATTCTTCAGCTGGTCTACTCGGAGATCGCCCAGAGTTGCTTCAGAGCATTTGTCGCGTGAAACGCATCATTTCTGGAGACACGTTGATCCATTCGATGGGGGGAACCGGAGTAGACTCCAGGCACTAGAATGGTCGAAGGAGCATTCACGATTAAGTGCATATGGTATATTTAAACTTTAGGCGCAGTGGTAGTCCGACTTTAGTGTTGGTTTTAATACGGCAAAAGAATTGCGAATTCAACTGGGCCGGCAACAAAATTTGGGAGGGTGTGTCGGGGATAGGGCTGTACATCTGTACAAACCGAAAGGTAGTAGCACTCACACCTCACACTTTTGTCAAATTCTGCCAAACACAACAAAATACAGCCGAAACATAATTGACAAAATGTTTTGTGTCATTATAAATAATATATATAGTACCGAAGTGTCGGTAAAAATGTAGATGTAGAGACTACGTAAAAAAGTGAGAGCTGTGGTATCCGTGAAATACAACTAGGATGATTTTCAAGCGTATGAACGTTGATGTAATGAATCCTTGTCGTATATCATTTATTGTTTTTTATTGAGCACAATCGTGTTACTTCCCCGAGCGAAAAGCTTTGTTTGATAAATTGTTTCCTAGCAATGTGTAGTTACTGACTAGGTAATTATGATTGAAATTAATAATTTCTGCGGGCTCCTATCCACACGAAATTACTGGTACATTTTCTGATATATATTCTAGTATCCGTAGAATTGCTCCTAAGTTTATGTCACAGCTGAAATTTCCCTTATTTTTCTACATCATGGGACGCCATCAATGAGCGATAAATTTGTTTTCTAACGATTCGAGATCTCATGGGGGGTTATCGTAGCTTTAACAAAAATCTTAATTTTTGGCCATATTTCAGAGTACAGCCACGCGCGTTGTGTGAAGCGAGCATGCTGTGTTACTGCAATGCATTGCGGTACAAAATGCTTTTGTGCGCTTTGCCGAGAAATCTTTAAGGTTAAAGCTGATGATTTCCATTGTCTTCAACAGTTCTGTACACGCTGCGTTTAACCTGTACGTCATGTTTATCGCACCGTCGACGCATGATGATACACTTATGGTACGCTAACATCAATAGTCTGGGCGACAAAGAAGAAGGTTTGCCACCACATTCAGCCGACCAAGCTTAATTTTCATTCAAAGGTTACAATAAGCGTCTCAGTATGTGATGAGAAGGACTTATCGACTCAGGGGCTATTCTGTTTCTCAAAGCGATAACAAAAATGCCTTATGGATTAGTGATCCCACGCATGAGGGGCTTATGCATTTAATGGAGTCTCGCTGAATGAGAGAGGGTTAAAAAAAGCCAAATGCAACACATATCAGCGACTTTTTTTGGAGCATAAACTGATCGCCTTTCAAGAGACAAAGTTTAACGACGAAGACTCGTCACAGACCGGCAAATACTACATACACTTTTCTGAATTAGGAGCGCGCTGCTTAGATCCGACAGTACATCCTGTTCTCAACGAGAGACATGTTGCAAGCCATGAGCTGTAACCAAAGTCACCATTTGACAAAGTTGCAGATCTCGCTAAACAAATCACAATGATTTATTACGAAATCGTGATCATTGCATACGACTACGCTAGACAATCAGACAGTGTATACACGTGATGTCTACGCGGCATTTGTTTCCTCAAGACGTTCGGAGGTTTGGTGGTACTTCCTGCTCCTTCAGTCTTAATAACTCGGATGGCGCACATGTTCATGGGTGCAGCGGGGTGCCGTAGCGTTGCGCTTAGAGGAAGCGTAATTTAGGCCACCGACCTTTCGTTCTATATTTAGAACAAGTACGAGTTAGCAGATCGCAATCCGCTTACTCCAAGAGTAATTTTTGCCTTAACCCAAGGCTTATTACACTTCCGTTTAAAATTAAGAACTGATTTTTACTTATTTTTATCTGCGGCAAAGCCGCCTAATTCTAAATGATTAAATTTTCCTAAATATATCTAAATACATGCATATTTACTGGCTACCTAGCCACTACCGTATTCTTGTTTCGGTGCAGTCACACCATGCCCATCTCGTATGACACCCCCTCTACTACCAGGGTACGTGTAACCCGTTTAACTCCCCCCATTAAGATTGAGAACATTAATAGTTCCAATCGATTATTGCCGCAACGAGGCTCGCATGTCCGTTTAGACACTGCAACTTAGTTCTTCAGAATAAAACGACTTCCGTGCTCAATGAGCCCTGTATCAACGGCACTGAGTCACTAAGTCTCGCTAGTTCTGACAGCGAACACGAGCAGAGCCCAACTTCGTCTCCCACACGCGGTGCCATGTCTGACAGTGCGTCCGCGGCACCGGGGAATGTACAACCTAGGCTCGATGAGCACGAGCGTCGCGCTTCGCGCACGCTATCAATGACGGGTGACCTCGTTGAGGATATGGAGGTGGTCGACTACGAGTCTGACACACCTTTTCCCGCATGGGATGACGAGGAAGGCGAGCATCGCCAGCGGCAGGATACGAGCCCTGCTCGCGCCTTGCGGACCCCATGTCCGTTCCCTGACTTCTCGTCACTCGAGGGACGTGGTGTAATCACCAATGACCTCAACGGGGTACAGTGGTGGCAGCTGGAAACTTTCCGTAAGGCGGCTCTGAAGATCGCCCATCCACGGCCGGTTATTGACCTTCGTGTGGAATATGGCTTCCGCCCAGCGGATCCCGCTGTGGAAGCGAAGGACGAGGTAATCGATCGTTACGCGTCCACACTATCGGAACCCCGGCCAGAATGGAAAATTAACCTGCCAAACGGAAAGCTCTTCGAGCTCATATCTTGAGTCCTCATAAATTTTCATTGAAAGCTTATCGCACTCGTCTGAGGGCTTAGCGAGGTGGCTCTCGGGTACCCGCAATGTGTACAATACCTGTAGTGCTCGCCCCTAGCGAAAGCGCTACAGATGACGAAGCGCTCTTTGAGCAATGGGTGCAACGGCAGCGAAAACTTTACTCACTGTATAACCTACAGTTGAGCCACAAGGAAGTGGACGTGCGTGTGGAGCGACACTTCCTATTTGACTTTGCCAAACTCAGGGCACGGCGTCGACTTCCTTCGGATTGTCTCCCTGCGACGTATGGGTTAACCCGTAACGCTCCCGCGATATCTGTGTCTGCG